AGCACACAAAATATCTACTTCCTTCTAGCTTCAGAATCTACTACTTTCTCTATTTGCCTCTGCAGCAAATATTATACCAAGTTTATTGCTAGCAAAAAACTAAGTCTATACCCAAACTATTGCTTTATTAGTTAAGTAGAGATAGAGTCATATTATATTTAAAGCAAATTTAGAGATGATTTTGAATTTTATATAGAGGAATAGTAATAAGAAATACAAAAATCTTTTCATAATTTATTTTAGTAAATAGTATGGTTATGAATTTTAATAATAGATTTTTTAAGATTAATTTAATTGCTAATCTGTCTATAATCGGCACTGTTTGGTACTATTTCCATATTAAGAATTGGGGTAAATTTACTATTAAATTTACTATAAAGTAGAATCTGAGATCTTTGCTAAGATAAATAATTTTTTATTAATTAAAATATTACTTTAGATTCTAATAAAAGTTGTAGAACATACTTTTATAATTCTAATGATGATAAAATCATTAAAATTAACCTATTATATCATAAGATATTATTTTTTTTTTTCTTTATATAAATGCTATCAGCTGAATTTTATTGATATAAATAATGAGAAATATTACATATTGTGAGAGTACAACTAGCCATATGTACAACTTATAGTAAGCTTTATTCATTTCTAGAGGTTGTAATTCTATAAATCATATTGTACTAATATCAATTAAATATTAGAAGTATAATATAATATTCAAGTTATATTATATGAATAAATCGTGATATAATCTATGAGTAGAGAATCTGCATAATAGAAATCTAGAATTAGATAAAATATTATAGATTTTAATAGTTATACTAGTTAATATTTGATCTAAAAAAAAATCTTTATATAAAAGATATAGATTGAGTAGATACAAGTAAGTCTACTGTCTAGTATCTTATATTAGTAGCAACACCAACTTGGTTTAATAGCTAACTAGATTTGAGAAGATCTGTCTTATAAAATATCTGAATATATAGAGAACTAATCTAGTAGAAAGTTATAGTAGGAACTAAGTTTATACAAATATCTATAAGGATATATGCTAGCTTAATTAAGATATAGCATAGTATAGTTAGAATATTCTGCAGGTCTCTCCTGAAGAGGATAATAGGATACCTTAAGATAGAGCTTTTTCTAATAAAAGAATCTAAGGTATAAGCTAGTCTGAGTAGTTCTTAATAAAGTAGTATAAGATTATACAAGTTTAAAAATAAAATTGAATTAATGATTAAAGATAATAGAGATGACAAAGAGTTTAAAATAGAGTAGCTACAAATAGTTACTAGATATAGCAATTAGTAAGTAAATTTTGAGCAGAATCTTTAAATAGATAATGATTAAAGTTGTATATATGACTAATTATACCCTCACTAACTAATATAAACCTACAAATAATCTAATAAAAAAAAAAAAACAATTGATCCCTCGTACCAAAAATTCCCAACTTATTTTTTTAAAAATATATAATAAACTTTGTAGAAATATAAGAGTAACAATACAGAGAAGTATAAGACAGTACCTGTTATTTAGAGATAATTCTCATACGCTATCTGCTAACAGGTTTAGAGTTTATCATTCACTGCAATATCATAGCGATACTTATTATTTAGAAGTAGTTCTCATACGCTACTTGCTAACAAGCTTAGAGTTTATCACTCACTCACAGAAGATAAGTACTAGTTACACTCTTAGTGAATACAAGTAGATAGTAGATTTTGGAAAATATACATTCTCTTTAAATTTTTTTGGCACTACTACCATCTCCTTCTGGACCTTTGGATTTCTATATATCGAAAAATAAAAAAGTGGGGGATTTGGTGAACCCTTAACAAAGGATTTGCAAGTTCATACTACTTTCTAATTTGGTAAATCATCTGTTGATATGCAACTTAGACAAGGCAACAAACATGTATATCACCATCATGTAGATAGTCCAATTAGGATTTAACTTCTAGAGAAGTTTATTGCTAGAGATATGCGTTCTTGTTTTTGCATAGCATAATATTTTTATATTTTGTTACACTCTTTTTTTCTTTATATTAATTAGAGTATTTGTTTCTTTTTCTTTTTTATTTACTTTTTCACTTGTAAGGGTTTTTTAATCTGGTAGTGGATTTTTCTCTTATAAGCTTAGTTTATATAATTAGCTATGTTTTATTATATATAACAATTTTTATTTTTAACTTAGACTAGGTATTAATAGTTTGTAATTTAGTTTCAATTAGATTAGAAGCAACCTAAGACCTTGATAAAGTGTAAAAGAATCTATTATTAATCTGAAGGAACTACTCTACTTTGGTAGGATACCTTTTAGAGAAATAAATACTTTTTGTGGTAGATCGCATCTGGATAGTACAAGGCAAGCTGAGTGAATCTAAGGTTGCAAAAGTAAGATACATTAGTAGTTTAGAATATTAGTTTTTTTCTTATTTGTGTATCATAATTTCTTTATAAATCTTCCACTAATAAACCAAGGGTAAGGTCACCTAAGTTAAAAAAAAAAAAAAAAAAAAAATCATCTAATAAAAATTAATTAATAATAATAATAATAATAATAAAAAAAACAATTAATAAACTCTATAAAATATACTAAATATACAAACTATTTGAAGAAAAAAAACTATTACTATCTACTACTGTTACTAAATCAATATGAAGGTTTTTTTAAATTCTTATAAAATACTATTAATCTAATCTAAATCAGTGTAAAATTGAGAAATATTTTTTTAAGCTAAAGACTAAATCAAATCTATTTCTTTGATAAAAAATGAACTCAAATTAATTCCTAGTACTTATATATATTGTAATAGACTTTTTTGTATTTAGTCTATAAGTATACTAAGTGAGCAATTCTTCTTTATTGCAAAGAATACAATCAGTCTTATCTGAAATTAAATAAATCCTGAAGTTACATATATATTCTTATACTTGAAAAGCTAGTTTACAAAATTAGATGATATATTAAAAAAAATAAGTAAACTGAATCTCTAAAAAAAATCAAAAAATCAAGATAAATTAGCAGTTTTTTTGGTCTTATATATATATTTTTTATATGAAAATTTTTTTTATATAAAAATTTTTTTTTTTTTTATATATATAAATTTTTATTTTATATATATAATTTTTTTATTATTATAAATTTTAGTTTTTTATATAAATTTTCTTTTTTTTTTTATCTTGTAATAAAAACATTGTCGCTTTTTAATAAAAATTTTTTTTTGTTTAACGAAAGTATCAATATGATTGGTTGGGACTTATTTGAGGAATTTCAATTCAGAACCGGGTCCTGGGATCGATTTATCATTATGTTCAAGGATCTAGATCCTAGGATCGGACCGAACTGGATTCACAATTTAACATTCCTAATGGTGCTATAGCGCTACAAATTAAATCCCATATCGATATACTAATATTTATTTTTTTAAGAGAATAATTATAATTTACTCAAAAGTATATCGATATACTAACAAGTTATGAAATTATTTTTTGTGTACAACATTATCTTTATCGAATTAATGCATTAATAAATCTGTGTGTAACGATAAATAGATATAAAAAAAAAATCTCGATTATCTTTAAAAAAAAAAAAATTTTTTTTTTAAAAAAAAAAAGACACGTTTTTCAAAAATGTTAATGAAAAATGTAATTCAAAGAAATTATGAAAAATTCATTTTATTAAAAAGAGGATTAAATAATAATAATAATAATTATCTTTTTAAAAATAATCATCTTAATCACGTAAGACAACAATTTATAAAGAAGCAACAATATCATCAACAACAAAAACAACGACGAATAGAAACAAAAACGCAAACGTTAATATATAATAAACGTGAACAAGATGTTTTACCAAAGAATTATTATTATCAATTAATTAATTATAAGTCATTCAATAATGGAATCACCAATAATAATAATAATAATAATAATGATATTATTAATAACGAAGATGATTTCATTATTAATAATAATGAAATTTCAGAGGATCAAAGTTCGAATAATCAACAACAACAACAAGAACAAGAACAAGAACAATTAACAAAAAAAGATGATCAAACAATAATTAAAAATTATTTAAATAATTTTAATTATAAAGAAATTTTTAAAATTTATCAAAATTTATTAGATAAAAAAATAAAAATTCATCCAATAATAATAATATATGTATTTGCAGCATATATTAAATTAAATAATTTAAAAGAAGCAAAAAATTTATTAGATAAATCAAATTTAGGTAATTTTCATATAAATTTATATTTAAAAATTTTAAAAAATTATTTAAAAAATTTTAAAGAAATTAATTTAGCTAATAATTTATTAAAAAATTATTTTATTAAACGTATTAATCCAAATTCTCGTCAATTTACTTTTCATGTTACAAAATTATTTAATTCTGGAAAATTTCAACAAGCTTATTTACTTTATAATAATATTATTTGTGGAGGTGTTAAACCAAATGAATATACTTATAATGTATTTTTATCTGGTTTTTTGGAAAATGATAATTATACTTATTCTGTTCAATTATGGGATGATATGAAGAAAAAAGGTCATAAACCAACTTCAATTATTTATAGCACTATGATTAATGGTTTTGCACGAAAGAAGAAATATCATGATGCAGAAATTATATGGGAACAAATGAAACGTGAAAATATAAAACCTGATTCAATAGCTTATTGTGCAATGATAGATGCTTATTTTCGAGCAAAAGATTATCAAAAAGCTTTAAAAATATTTGAGCAAATGCAACAAGATAATATTCAGATGAATGAGATAGTATTTAATAGAATAATTAATGGATTATTATGGAATAATAGAGTTGAAGAAGCAATATCTATATATCGACAAATGTACTTGATGAATGTACGACCATGTATATCAACATTTAATATACTTATTAGAGGTTTATTATATTATAAAAAATATGAAACTCTAATAGTAAATATTTTAGATGATATGAGATCGCAAAATATAACACCAGACGTTGTAACATTAACAACCCTTATAGAAAGATATTTTGCAAAAGGTGATCTGAAAAGTGTCGGTAAAGTAATTGATAGTTTTGCTACATATGGAATTAAACCTAATGCAACTACATATGGAGCGTTGATTAGTGGTCTTATGCTTACAGGTAATTATGCAGGCGCAAAATTGGCATACGAAGAAATGTTATCGGTTAACATACAACCAAATATACAAATTTATGGTTGCATGTTAAATGTATATTTTAAATTAAACAATTTAAAAAATGTTGAACAAATACATCAAGACGTAAAAAAATATGAAATTAGACCAACAGTTGGATTTTATAATATTTTAATTGGAGGTTATATAAGAACTGGTAATTTTTTATATGCAAAAAATTGTTATCACGAAATGAAACATTTAAAAGTTTATCCAAATCAAAATACTTATAAAACTTTGTTAAATGGTTATATTAGTAATAATGATTTGGATAGTGCTACTAAAATATTACGTGATATGTGGGATGTAAATTTCGAACCTGTAGATTTGGAATTTAAACGTTTATGTATGATGGTTGAAAAGAAATGGCAAAATAATCGTAGAATTAATGATTATTTTGAAAATAAAAAAAAAGTCGATTAATGAAATTATAGTCAATTTACCTTTTTTTTTAAAGATATATATCTACGTGTATTATTTTATTTGTCTTTTAATTTGGAGAAATATGACAAGGATTTCTTTGGATCCGGTACAATGGTTGCATCACCTTTTTTCCAGTTTGCTTATGAACAAATAAATATTATTGTGTTATTTTGTGTTACTGAGTGAATTGTATCAATTGAGATGAAATACCTGGACAAACTTCACCATGATCATTCGCGAATTGAATAGCTTGTACTAGACGGAGTATCTCATCCACTGAACGACCTATTAAATTTATTATATATCAACCCTATTATATACTTTTGATATTATATTAACTTTAATCATATATCTCTTACCAATTTCAGTATCATTAATATGAATTACACGGACAATTCCCTACAAGATAATATGTTTAATAATATTAATATACTTTTATAACCAGTTTAAGGACGTTATTTCTGTTACCTTGTCATCGATTATAATAATTCCTCTACATATAAATTGTTAATAATAAAATAGTATAAAAAAAAAAAAAAATAAGCAAATTTAAAATAAAAGGAATCAAATCTAACCTAAAAGGAATTCCCTTTTCTTCGTACAAGACACCATAATCTTCAGATATTTTCTTTGAATAATCAGCGACTAAATATTTTCATTCTAAAAGTTAACAACTATCAAATATCAAGTAACCGTCAACGTGTCCGACTTACCCAACGGAATCCTTTTTTAACGATTTAAAAAATTAAAAAAAAATTTTTTTAATTGAGATTAAAAGATATAATTATAAATGAAAAAAAAATATTACATACTTGATGCCGCCAATGCCACCTTGACCTCGTGGCAGTTTGCTGAAAAGAATTTTCAAATAATAAATAATGTTAATAATAATAATAATAATAGTAAGTAAATACAATAATAACGACACGTAGTAATAATACGCGTTAAAAATAGAAACCTCCAAGCAAGATGAGAAAATTGAGAATCACAAGAAATTGCAACTACTTCAGCTCCAATATCTTTAAATTCTTGAATACGATCACTAATTAAGTAAAATTAAATAAATCATTAACCGTTAAAACAGTTAATTTGTAATAAAAACTCATCTTAAAAAAAAAAACTCACGAAAAAGCGTTCAATTCGGTTGGACATACTAAAAAAAAATTCGAATTTTTTTTTTTTTAGCCTTGCTAATTATTTATATATAATATGTTAGAATTATTTAACTCACCGAAAGTAAAGTCCAATGGATAAAATAACATTATCAAAAATTTATCCTCATAGTCGTTAAGCGAAAGAGTTTTAATCTCATCCCCAACAACAGCAAGAGCTTCCCAAAATGGTGCAGGACGCTATTTAATTTTTAGGAAATAAAAAGAAATAAAAAGAAATAAAAAACTATTATTATATATTTTTTATAAATATTATAATAAAAACGCGTGAATATAAATAAATGGAACGTGAAAAGTTTACAGTAACTTTAGCAACAAATTCGTCAGCAAACTTTTTTTTAATAAAGCTTTTTTTTTTTGATATTCCAAAAGTTTTTGAATATTATTATCGTCTTGTTGATAAAGTGGTTTGACGTGACTAAAAGTTCTGGTTGCTACTACTGTAGGACGAAAAATATGTGAAGTAACAATTCGCGAAACCGCCCTTAAAGAAACTGATCTTAAGGCGTACATAATGGAAAATTTTTTTTTTTAAAAGAATTGACTATCGACTATCGGACTATATGACTATCAACTATCGATGATAACTGAAAAATTTTAATCAGCACATGATATGATATCGATATGATATCATAACGATAACGTTTTTAATTCTGTATTTTTATGTGTAGGTTACACATCACATTACATACATTCGTCAAAAAAAACTTTTCTTTTTACAGTAAAAATGTTAACATTACCAACAGAATGTATTTTTAAAATATTTAATAACTTACAATCAAATCATGGAAGTTTATTTTCATGCCTTCTTGTAAACCGTCAATGGTGTAGAATTATTGTACCAATATTATGGAGAGAACCAAGAGATTTTGATAGAAGACTTATAAGAGTTTGTCTTTTAGAATTAAATGCAGAAGAACAAGCTTTATTAATTCCTTTTAAAATTACACTACCAATTTATCCAAAACCATTATTTAATTATATGAGTTATATTAAATATGTTGGATATTTAATTGATGGAGTTGAAAGTTGGCTTGAATATGAAGGATATATTACAGATGAAATTCCAGTAAATGCAATAGTATGTTCTTTAATTTCAATGTTTATAAGAACAAGTGAAAGATTAAATCATTTAACTTTTAGTGTTGCTATTTATAATAAAGTAATATTTAAAAATCTTTATAGGAATACCAATATTACATCATTAATATTTTATGTTGGTAATTTTAATTCCGAAACAATAGATATATTAGTAGAAATTCTTTGTAATAATATTACATTAACTTCTTTAGATCTTTCTTATAATAATATGGGATCTAAAAATTTGAATCCATTAGTAGAAGCACTTTGTAAGAATAATACTTTAACTTCTTTAATTCTTAAATGCAATCGACTTGGTTCTGAAGGTGGAAAAGTATTAGCAGAAGCTCTTTGCAAGAATACAACTTTAACTTCCTTAAATCTTTCAACTAATTTATTAAGTTCTGAAGGGGGTAAAGCACTAGCGAAGGCTCTTTATGTAAATACTACTTTGACATCTTTAAATCTTTATTGTAATGATCTTGGTAGTGAAGGAGGAAAAGAATTAGCAAGAGCTCTTTATAGGAATAATACTTTAAGTTCATTAAATATTTCTACTAATCTTCTTAATTCTGATGGTGGTGAAGCATTAGCGAAAGCTCTTTGTATAAACAATACTTTGACATCTTTAAATCTTTATTGTAATGAACTTGGACCTAAAGGTGCTGAAGCATTAGCAGAAACTTTTAGTAAAAATTCTACTTTAGCTACTTTAAATCTTGGAAATAATCAAATCGTTTCAGAAGGAATAAAAA